ATCGTGATATCGCTTTTAATTGTGAGAGGAGGTAGAATCATCGTAATCGTGATCGAGTACACAGATCGAGGATAGAAGGAAGGTTTGGAAAGGGAGTCGGTGGATCAAGTGCCTTTTTCTTTCTGTTTCGCGGGGATACCGTTGGTCCCGCCCCTCTGGGCGGCTCCTGGCACCCGGAAGTATCCTCGGCCCGAATACTGACGGACCTGTCCTCGCAGTACGAGCTCCCATCGCCGCAACCAGGATGTTTTTGTCCTCGAGAGCTTTCCCGCCGATTCTCTTCGCGGCGCTCTTCCTCTGCATCGGTGAGTGGATTACATCGTTTGACCCGTAACTCGTGAAACCGGAAGTCGCGTTATCTGAGAAACGAAATTGAGTGTGTTTCGAAATTTATGGTGAAATTTACGGTTCGATTGATTTAATCGATGTGATATTTATATTATATTTTAATTTTTTTTAACAAATTTTTTTTTTTTTCGATAAATATTTTGAAACGTTTATTTGTCTCAATTTCGACGATAACACGATTTTCTCGAGAATAATCGAGAAGAAAGGAGAAAAAAATTTGGTGAACTGGATAAATTGCTTTGGAAGTTATTAATTCTAGTTGAGTATGATAAAGTGTTATAATTTATCGAAAAAATGACTGGACGGAGAAACCTTCTTTTCTGTTAAAAAAAAAGTGATATTATAAATTACAAATATTTTATAGCATTAATTTTATCGATGTATTTGCATATTTGTGCATTAGTATAAGTTAAAAATTATTTTCTATCTTTTATATTTATTATTTTATACTGTGAAAATATCGGATTTTTTTTAAAAAAAAGGAGAAACATCGTCCAAAATATGTTAACATTATTAATTTTTAACATTTTTAATTTAATTTTCAATTTTTTTTTTGAACATTTCAACGACAGAAAAATTATGAACAATATTAATAATTTAAAATGATTAGAAGAAGTTATATAAGGTTAAATGATGGAACTTATATTCCATATTTAAAATCTTGATTTAGAATGATCTTTATAGACAACAGATTTTCCTATAATCCATTTTTGAAGATTCATTTTATTGTATGAACATTATATTATTAACAATTTTTCCTTTTCTTTGAAAACTTTGATATTTTCATATCATTTGATACTATAATTCAAAAGATAGAAACTTATACTGAAGTACAAACGTAAAAATACATGAGCAAAAATGTTAATATTTGTAATTTCTTTTTTTTGAATTTTATGTTAAAATCGAGTTTTCTTTATAGAAGAAAAAAATCTCTAACTCTCCTTTTCGACATCAAATCGTTCATTAAATTTCACAAATTCATAAATATATATATATTATATTATATAGTACTTTAACATATTCAAACTTTATATAAATATATTCAAACTTTCAATTTATCTAATTCACCAATCTTTGTTTTATTCACACAATTATAATTATAATTATATTTGCAATATAATATAACATTGGATGAATATTTTATGTTGCACGTGAATCACGTATCACGTCGTAAGAATCATCATGTACTATGTGCATATATTCAGTGCTAATTCTGTAGATACTAGTGCGAAAGTTTTGCGACAAGTATCTTTCATTCCAGATCGATAATTTACAAATTTTGATTTGAAAATAAATTTTTCATATACATAGCGACTCACAAAAGTATTTAAATATCTTAATTAATTAATTTAATTATCTTACATCGAAAATTCTGATTTTAATGAATATTTGTATGTATATAGAGTATACATAGTTTACATATGGAGTAATTTTTGTCGATGAAAAATTTCTTTAAAAAGAAGAAATCAACTTCCAAAGTTTTAGCATCCTTTCATGTTTTAAATACAATTTTGTATAGAGATTTTTTTTTTTTACAACAGATTTTGTAATCTAAAATTTTGCTCTATTTCTATTCCCTGTTACAAAATTATAAAATTAAAAAACGAAAAACTTCGCTGAAACTTCAATTTTACCTCTCTTAAAGTGATATTTCCGGCGTAAAGAAAAATTTACTTCGTATATAATCCATCATTCTATGCATTCATTAAGATTTATTTATTAAGATTTCATTCAAAAAATAAGAATACTTCCACGAATGTTTCGTGACAGTTACGTATATAAATATACATGTCTTTTTTCATTTAATCCAATGTAAACGTATAATAATCGAAAATTAAGAAAATTGTTACACATATGTGTATGATAGCGTGTAAAATGTAAAAAGGAAAATTTATTGGGATCGTGGAAAAACTTAAAATCGTGATGTTGCGAAATTCAACGTTGGTGATTTATTTGTAAGGTGATGTTAAATATCAAGCGTGATATTCGAAGAAGTTCTTGGCAATAATTCAATATCAGGGCTGTTCGAAATAATTAAAGGATCGGCTTCACGAGGAGAATGACCAATATTTTGATAGCCACTTCCGACATGGAAAGTAAATAGTGGTTGGGAACCGCGTGCGTTAAATATGCACACGGTTCCTTTCAGTCCTTCGTGTTTGCTTATCTTTCGAAATTTTACGGAGTCTCGTTAATTATTTCAACTAACGTATCATTATCATCAAGCATCTGCTTAAAACTGTACTTAAAGTTTTACGGAAAAAGAAAAAATTGTCATCTTGAATATTCGTGAGGTCGTGGAGATGGAACGAAGGTTCTTCTGGAATGAAAATAAATTAAAGTAAGTAAATCCACTTGCAAATAAGGTTGGTAGAAATTATACGACGTATCTTTTTATATCGAATAACTTTCGTTCGAGAACTTCTTAATCAGATGTTTCAGAGGTTTCGAAATATTCAAGATGGTGATCCTAGTTAGATGAGTTTTTGTCAAAATTTTGGTTCGATCATTTTCGAAGCTTGAATGGAAAAATGTTCGATAGGAGGAAGTAAGAATGGTTTAATATTTTTTTCGATTGTAAGGAGTCAAAAGAAGAAAAATTCTCGAAAAGTTTTCTTCTTTCATTTTTGGACATTCGTTTTAATAGTAATATTTAAAAAATTGAAAATAGTATTTTTTGGTTGGTTAAGATATATGTATATAATTCTTTTGACTTATAGACACATAGAATAATTTGATTTATAGCTCTCAATTTTCTATTTTTTGAATTCTCAAATTTATAATTGTTCGAATTTCCAGATTTAAAATTTTTAATATTTTCAATTTTTCGAGTTTTCAACTTAATTTATCCGGGAAAAGGGGATATTTTAGACAAAGGTTATTCTATATTCTTATTCTATATCGTTGTAGGCAAATGTTTTTGAACATATGTTAAATAATTCAAAATAAAGCAAAATGTTTCGATTTATTAATTTTCTCGCAATAATGCAAAAGTTGTTACAGAATTGGTTACAACTAACTGGTTTGAAACTAGAGAAGTAAGGAGAAATTTTCTTTTACATCTTATATAAAAAGAGCCAAAATCAAATTCTCTTCTAGCTATTTCCATTTCTAAAAAGTCAATAATAAAAACTTCGAAAGCATATTTAAAGATTCAATTTCAATTCATATAACCTCATTTATCACGATAATTTAATTCATAATTCATCAAACATCAAATCGAGAGCGTGATATATTTCTCTTCATCCCGATTAAACTTTTGAAATCCATCACGTCCCATTATTTATTTTTAGATTTAATTATAAAGTCGATTGTATTCGAAACTAAATAAAATTTCTTTTATATTTCATATTTTATGTAGATTTTAATTTTAATATATACAAATTCTTCATACATTGTTTTAAAAAATAAAAAAAATTTATTAAATTCCAAAAATCTAATTTTAACGAAAATTTTAATTATACAATTCGAGAGAAAAAAATAATTGTCTGCTATAATTTTATTAATATTATAAAACGAAAATGATTCCATTTTTGTCCATATTTCATATGAATAATTATAATATCAATTTCTTGTAGACTCCTCTAAAAATTAATATCCAATGTTATTCGAAAATTCGAATATTCAATATCAATTCATGTATTCGTCGCGCTAATTTAATTTATCATTCGTCAAATATCATCCGGTTATGTATCGACCGTCGATAACAATCGCCGAAAACGCGATATATTCTTCTCTATCGTTTATTAACTTTTCGAAAAATCCATCACATTTCATTAATTATTTCCATCGTTCTATCGTTGTCATTACACGGTTCGATTATGAATCTGGTCAATCCACTCCCCGCGTTTTTCTCGAATCATGTTCTTCTTTCTCGATCGAGAATCCGATTCGACGCGATCGCGCTTGTTATCTATCGTACAGGATAATTCGTCACGAGAGGTGGTTCCAGATGTCGCGACGAAACGCGTCGCATCTCGTTTCCTAATAAATGGCATTATTATTCCGTGGTGAAGTTTACGCTTTAATCGAGTTGGCCGCGCGGCGACTGAATAGGGGCGGGGTCTAACCAAATTTTCGGCTGTCCCACATTGCGAAATAGTGGTGGGGGGTGATCGGCGGAGAAGGGGTGAACCAGGAAGGAATTAGGCGAACGATCGAGCCTGGTATCTCATCGAACAGACGTTTCTGGGTTGTGCAGGGTGGGAAAAAAGAAGAGGGGGATGAAAACTGAGTTACGTGTTTACTTTACGAGATGAAAATTGAAATGACACATTTTTGCGGTTTTTTTTTTTAAAAGTTGAAGTTTTGTGAAAATATCAATATAACTGCTAACTAGGTTATTTAACTTGTTTCGATTACGTGTAGAATTTGCGTCAAATGAAATAATTCATGCAATTTTACTTAATAACATCTGTATTTTTTTTTCGAATATTAATAGGATTTTTTTAAAAAAAATATAGTCAAAAGTATGTTATATATCGATAAAATCATCTTTAGGTAATAATGAAATAGTTTGTATAGCTATAAGATTTAGTCAGAACAATAGTCATAATTTAAATTCTATAGTTATCGAGCTATATTAAAAATCATTATATTTTTTATTAGATCAATTTTTATGAGATATTTATATTCATATGTTCTTAGCAATTAAACTATTCAAAGTTTTTTCTAAAAATTGTAATTTTTAAATTATATGTGTTATCGTTGCAACAACTGTACGATTTGTATTTCGATCTATTAACCATATATCATAATTATAAATTATTAATTTCTAATAACTAAAATTTTATGCTTCAAACAATTTATTTTAAAGTATAATTCTTTGAACGAAATGATTTTCATAATTGTGACGCAAAAAAATAATCAATCTTCGATTTTAAATATTTTTTTCCATTCTATACGTGCATTTATCTATTATTAAATTCATCTTTTAAAATTCTTCACATTAACTTAA